GGCGTAGTAATAAACGACTTCTATTCTATTCTATTCTATTCTAATTTGTGGCTGTCTATATGTGTGTCCATGGCACCCGCGACACAGGGTTTCCCTAGTGCGGGGCTATGTTGAGTGTGTGCGTTATTTATTTATTATTTATTTATTTATGAAAATGTTAACTGTTGACATGCTAAAAAGGTATTTTAGTGAAGAGCGATACTATAAAGGGTTATGTATAATAGCAGCGTTGTTATAAATTAAGAAAATAACAAAATCATTATCAATGAGGCATTGAGTTAGGCTGATGATACTCTTTTGTGAGACAGTGAAGTTTTGATTGAGATTTGTTTTTCTAGTGTAAGTACAAACTTTGATTGTTCTAAAACCATAATTATGTGGTATAATAAAGTAAAATTGTGACAATGATATTGCCAAATTATTGCAAAATAAACAAACTAAAAGTCTGTACATTTAGAAGAATGAACTTTAGCACTGAATGTCATAATTCGAGTAATTTTAAGTATGAACAAAGTAAAATAATATCTAGTGCTATGTAAATCACAATCCAAAATCATTCCTAGCACCTTTCACCATCGATTGTACAAGAGTGAGAGCCTTTACTGTCAATATTAATTCATTTATACAGGTTGGAACAGAACGACCGACAAAGTTGTGCAGCGCAAGTGCATCACCAGATTATGCGCATGGCGCGTGGCGGACGCTCACACATACCAAGCCGCGCTGCTTCGTTTATATCGGAGTTACCATTATTATTATTATTATTATTAGGATGGCTTCATTCAAGGCGTATGCATTCCGTCATTCGACAGATATAATGTCCTCTGGTTGTGGCATGTGCCTTCCCAGTATGGAACTTCGTACAACCATCAGGGGGTAGTATTGGGTGAGTAGATGAACAGGAGTTTCATCCGCCTTGTGGCAGAATCTACATTCTTTATTCTCTCTCTGCCCAATATTTGACATGTGCTTGTTTAAGCCACAATGCCCTGTTAAGGCTCTAGTGAGCATTCTTATGCCATTTCTATCCAAAGGTAGAGCTTCTCTACAGTGTTTGGCACTGTAGGCAGATATCAGGACTTTTGAAATCTCAAAACCCTTGCTCTGTAGCCACACTTTGTCGGGAGAGATATGCTCTCGTTTAACAAAGTGAGCTTTGCCAGGCTGTATGCTATCCCTATGAAGGGTTCGGGTCCAATAAAGGTTTCCCTAGCACCAGCCTTTGCCCTCCATGTCAGAGTGGCCTGGAACCCAGCGCAGGACCACTGTATTACTTTCCCCGAGAGCATTCAGTATTTTTACACAATTCTCTACAATCCTTGATGTTTGGGTGACTGAGGCTAGGCATGTGGAGCCACTTGACTACCTGAGTTTATGTAAATATGCTTGTCAACGTAGCCTCTTCTCAGGTTCAAATCCGCACAAGTAATTATGGCGTACACTTCGACCTGAAAGATAGAGGAGTGTCGTCCCATGTTCAGCTTGTAGCTGAGCTTGTGTCTCACGCCGTGTATACCACAGCCTACGTTGGGTCCCATCTTAGACCCATCGGTATACCATAGGAGGCTACCGTCCTTCCAGGTGAGACTGTTAGTTTCCCAATCCTCCCTAATTGGAAATTCTACCTAGTAGAGTTTTTTAAAGTTTTATTCGGGAAGCATGACATCAGAAGTCATTCCCAGAACAGAGTGTTCCAGCATTGAATCTTGGGCTGATCGCAATGTCTGGAAGAGCCATCTACTCCTTAACCTAGTAGTAAGCCTGTACATGCTGGTACTGGCCTCTCTCTGTACGAATAAATGCAGAGGAGCCAGGTTCAGCAATGCATTTAGGGCCGCCCCAGGTTTGGTGGACATTGCTCCCGTTGCTAACAGGCACGCGATGCGCTGTAGACTGCCCAATGTGACAATTTTGGTTGTTTAGCTGACTTTAGCACTCCAAGCAACAGAGGCGTAAGTCACAATTGCCTTATATAACCAGAGAGTCATCTGTGATTTTAGACCTCAACACTTTCCCACCATATGGCTACAGATACCTAAGGCCATTTTGGCCTTGTTGACCGTGTTAGCTATATGGCGGTTCCACCTTAGGGTTTGATCTAGGGTTATCCCTAGATATTTGAGTTCTACGGAAAAGCCCACAGCCCTGCCACCAAGAATCGGTTCCACTAGCTTGTCTTTTCCGCATTGATTTACCATCGAGTTACATATTTGTTATATTAAGCTTCGGTTATAAAATGCTACATGGTTATTATATTTCGTCGCTTCATTCTCGATATAATATTTAACCAGGTAGTTTCCTTAACTTTCTAGGCAACACCGCTTTGTAGAGAAATAAAAATGTTTTGACGTTGACACTCCATACCAGGAATCAACCGCCACTTTCTATCCTCATTCTTTTTTCGTGCGTGGCAACAAGCACACCTCCACAGCTCCGTTAAAATGTCAGAGCGAACAAACTTAGAGAAAATCGATTATTATAAATAAACTGAAATACTTGGAAAGTACAGATGCCAAACGTCGTCGGCGTTATAGGATCATAATATCATCGGACGCGTCGCAATTAATTTAATTGCAATTGATTTCAATTGAATTGATTTTTTAATCTGATTGAATTATTGATTGAAATTTAATTGATTAACGCCCAACAATGCGATCAGTTTCATAAATCACAAGGGTGGGATCCAATACTCCCACCTTAACGATTTGAGTAAACCAATTTGGCAATGGTGCGAAAAGCGCAACATAATTTTGTATGCATATGTGCATATTATGTAAATACAAAAGATAATCGCGCCGATGTAGAATCTAGGAAGACTAATCCCAATACCGAGTGGGAGTCGTCCTCTCGCAAGTTCCAGACCATTGCCAGACTTTTCGGACAACCCGAGATTAATCTTTTTGCATCCCGCACCAATGCCAAATCCGCTATTTTTGTCTCTCGGTTTCAGGAACTACAAGCACTGACCAAGCAAATGGTACTCTTGGTTTTCAATATTGGTCTTCTCAGCCATGGTTCCTCCTGCTGCAAAGCCACATACTGATCACATAATAGTGATAGAACTTCACTTCAAGAAGTTAATTTGATCACCTATAACAGGTTATAACAAATGTATTGAAGTATTGAATTTTTAAATTCCGACTAAACGTAAACTTAAATTTTCGAAAACCAATTTATAATAAAACAATTATGCTTTCAGGGAAATTTGTATGCTTTTTATGTTTGTATGTTTTTTGTATGCTTATTTATAAGTTTGTATGCTTAAAGAAAAGATTGAGTTAACGTAGGTTTATTTTGTAATATTCCCAGAAAAAACTACAAAATTAATTAATTCAACCAAGCTAAGACTGATGAGCGATTAATGCGTTTTGAACAATTAAGTGCAGACCTGACATCCATCTGTTGGTAGGTCAATGGCTAAAACGAAGACTGCCATAAAACATAAATACTTACTCCTAAATAAAAACCAACTCCTGTAGTCAAGAAAGGAATAACAAAAAAAAACTCACTTATCCTCCCTGTGACGCCTCTCCTCCCTCAGACGACGGTCCCGTTCCCTCTCTAGATCAACACTGGTACTGCGACTATGAGAGTGTGCGCCATTGCTGCCTTCTGGCTTTTGAAGGTGGGAGTCCACCGGTACTTCTTCAACTGGAACAAACAACAAGAGCTGTACAACCTGCAGGCTTGTCGCACCTAGAAGTTACTCACAATTGTTAACCAAAGACAAGATACATAAATAACAATTTAACTCGTATTTGCTTTTACTTCCACCTACTTACAAGAGTGAAAATATAAAAATGAATAAAGGAATGAATATTTTTTAACATTAAAGTATCTAATTTAAACTAAATGTTTAACTGGACTATATAAATTTTTATTTCTGTAGGTACTAAGCAGCTATAGCGCCAATAATAGCACAATTTTTGTACTCAATAGGTGAGGAAATCCATATGCATTGAGGTTCATATTCATATAAATGTTCCATCTTCAACAGCTATAATCAACCAATTAGCCAGCATTTTAACATAATTAGTAATATACATATTTGCAGTCAATGTTTCACAAGCATAAATCATATTATCAACCAGAAATGTTTATTAACATCTTAGCCAGTCTAGAACTGGTGCAGATTGGTTCCACTATACAAAAATATTGAATTTTTACATTTCACGTTGCAAGGAACAGTTGTTTTGCCAATAGAGAAGTGCATCCAAAGAGATTTGCTGCATGTACACCTTAATAAAATGGTTTCTGATTGCAGTTTTGTGGAGAAAGGTTCATGACATAAGCAGATGATGTAGAATTATTTTTGCTGCTTTTATAAATAATCTGCAACTTATTTATCAGTAACCATGGACGCTTTCCAACATACCCACCTGCCGAGGGCCGCACAGCGCACGTGGCAGCCGCGCTCTGCCACCCACTCTGAAACGATGAGCAAAATATGCCATTATCATGTCAACGTTAGGTTCCACCGCCTCCGATCATGATCTCACGATGAAACAAACAAACAATGCGCGTCATTTGAAGATGCCAAAGCTTTTAGGTTATAAACGCAGATAGATGAGATCATCATTGGGGGCAGGCGACTTACATTTAAGAAAATATTGAAAGTGGAACTAACCGTCTGGAGAACGGTCCTTTTTGCGATCCTTGTGCTTCTTATGCCGTTTACGTTCGCGTTCCTCCCCGTCCAAAGGCGACCGAGACCTACTCCTATGCTTCTTCTTTTTGGATTCTTTCTTGTGTTTCTTTGAACCCATTGTAAATATAAAGTTATGAAATATGTATCGAAGCTTTTTCTGCTAAGCTATGTACTACACATATGCAAAAATAAAATTTGCAATATTATTTTCACACCACAGTAAACGCCATCTTTTAGACCATAGTGACCATAGATTAGAAATATTAAAAGCAAAGTGCAAGATTTTTTTTTTTATTTATTTCTGGCCATGGAAACAAAGTCCTTCAGCCGAAAACATAAAAATAAGTTTTTCTGTAAATATGGCCGCCACAAAGAGTATAAGCATTTGAGGCGGGGCGGCGTGCTTGGATTGACTCGGGATTCCTTAGAACGGGCCGATACGGGTATTTTAGTTCGAGATTCGTATAATTTCGCGTTTTAATCTTCGATTAAGGCACAATAGCACTATCCTATTCCACTTTAAACTAGATTTCACAAAATAATTGAAAGTCAAAATAAAAATGACACTTTTCCCTCCAAAAGGCCCAGAGCAGAGCGAATCCGCAAAGTGCAAGAGTATGTACAGTGTTGCCAGATTTTTCCGAAGTTAATTCGCCAATTTAGTACTTAAAGCATATAGGACGGGAGGGAAAAGTGAACGTGATAACATTTTTAAGTCCAAAATCATAACTATTAATAATTCATTGAAATTTAGTGATTGGGCGACTGTGGGAATTCACAAAAGTAGACAAAGGCTATATGATCTTTACGATGAAAGGACCTATAACACTAGTAACAGTTTTAATGATTTTGTTAGGAAATATTCGAAAATGTTTAAACGTTAATTAAATAAAAAGCAGTGGAATGTAGTAAAAACGACTTGGAATATTATAAACAGCGAAACTGGAAGGGTCTAACCTCGTCCCTTAGATTTTCAACAAAGATTTAATGACAAAATTGTAAACACAGACGCAGAAGTTGCTAAAATATTTGATTTTTTTTTACTGACATTCCAATTTTGACTACTAAGTCGTTAAATTCATTTCCCAAAGTTATCAAAACGGCTCGGCTCTGCAGTGTACACGATTAAAAAAATAAGGAAACTTTCAAACGTCGAAACCGCTAGATTGGTTTACTTCAGCTACTTTCACAGTCTAATGACATACGGCATTTTGCTTTGGGGTAATGTCGCCGATATCAATAAAATCTTTGTCCTGCAGAAACATGCAGTTAGGGCAATTTACAATCTGGGCCCCAAAGTACCTTTGAGAGATAAGTTTAAGGAAATTAACATTCTTACACTAGCCTCACAGTACATTTATGAAAATGTAATTTATGTTAAAAGGAATAGTAATTTCTTTATGAAAAATAGTGACAGACCCAAGATTAATACGAGGAATAAAAATAAACCAGCTTTCTTGATAGTCGTCTTTACAAAGTCAAAAAATCATATTAAAGGGCAATGTATACGCTTTTATAAGAAAATTCCGTTTTATATACAAAATTTGCCTTCCGCGAGGTTGAAAACTATAGTGAAACAAAAACTTTATACTAAAGGTTATTATACAACTTCTGCGTACTTGGATGACAAAAGTCCGTGGTAGTAAACCGTTTAGCTCATGGGGTAGTCTCGATCTCTGATATTTCAAAACAAAAAAATATATTGTAAATGTTGAATGTGTACAAACGTTATTTACAAAGAGCGACCCCTAGAGTTTCTTGCTCATTCTTCTCAGGGGAATTTGCCGCACGAATGAGCGATAGAGTTTAACCAACGTGACGATTTCAAGTGTAATAATGCTTACCTATGAAATAAAGATTATTTTGAATTTTTTTTTAAGGTAAAGCACGAGTTTTATGTTTGGTACATGCGTAAAACACGAGTTTTCTTTTTTTGTGTGCCAACTTTCATATGCTCTGATATTGGCTATACCTTTTATTATGCACTTTTTATACTTTGTAACGTCTAAGTTCTATGAATAAATTTATTATTAGAGTGTTAGGTCAAGTTACGTTCGGTGCTATTCCGAAAAATTTCAAAAAGTGGAAATTTTAGCGAAAAAATTCCCGAAAAATTGGAAAATTTTTGAGTTGGAAAAACAAGACTAAATTATTTCACAAAAGCGAAAAAACCTCCAACAACCATTTTTGACAGATGTTAACTTCATATATATGGAGAAATAGCAGAAAAAAATACGGAAATATATTTATTTTTCTGAAAAATATGCTTTAAAAAAAATGGAAATTTTTCCATGACCCAACACCAGGTATAGTTACTGTTGGACAATTTTCAAATTTCCAAAAAATTTCAAAAATGTCAATTGGTGGAAATTTTGTCCGGAAAAATTCCCGAAAAATTGGCAAAATATTAATTATATTCAAAAATATGATTTTTTCAAAATGGACCAACATTAGACCTAGTGTTAGGCCATTTTGAAACCATCGTATTAAAAAAAAACTGAATATTTTTCCTTTCCACGTTCGAAAGTTGCCATCTGTCATAAGTCGAAGAAAACCCTACTGAAAACCTTTTATTTTTTTTTCCATGAAGAAAACGATGAAACCTTATGAAACCATAACATTTTGTTTACAATTTTTTTTCGCTGTTGATGTTGTCCTAAAATAATTTAAAACTTATCTCATTTTTTATTGTAGGTATGTTACGCGATTACTCCAGTATTTGTGAACCGATTTTGATGATTCTTTTTTTGTTGGAAAGAGGATACCTCAGTATTAACAGATTTCAATAAAACTTGGCAAATAGATGTAATTCCAATAAAAAAAACGATAAGCAAAGTTGACAAACTTTTTTAATTATAACATTTCATGTCATGAATATAACTGCACAGTAAGTTATATTTTTCAAAAGGTCTGTGTTGAGCACGAGACATCCCAAGGTTTGTTTAAATTATTATTTCAAGCAATTGATCTATGAGGCGAGGACTTAGTAAGTAGAGGGACAGTCAAAGAATATATCGACCCTGGAAAGCGATTTTGTCGTATCTCGAAAAATAGCAAAATGAGTTTTTTATATATTTGGAATCAGAAAAAAAATTGCGCATTTTTTGGTCTAGGTCTCATAAAATTCTACGACGATATTTTTTCGTTATACGACGTCGATTGTTGACCCTGATTTTTTACGAAACACACGGAAAAATGGTGTAAATAGGAAAAATTTGCTATTTTTTTATGATAAAATAGATACATCAAGAATTTTATTTTGAAGTTGAGATACACGGTCCCCGTTTAAATGTTTCGAAATACTTACAGCACTTTATCGTGGCCAACCAACTATGGTTCACCGAGATACAGCAAATTCGCTGCTCGATAATTGTAATTAGTTAGAAATACAACAATTCAATTCGCTCTGGGCTAATTGAGTTACAATTTACAACTTTATAATTCAGTGAATGTGGCACTAGAAATGCACTTCACACGTTTTAAAATCCTATACAATTGTTTTTACACTAAATAAAAGTCCCCTTTCCCCTTCCCTCGTTTAGTTACGCTCCTTCACGATTGTAGGGCAATGGACATGATGATGAAATGGTTTGCGAATTTTTTGTGTGATGAAAAATACAGAAGATCAAAGGTAAGCCAATTTAATACCTAAATATAACAGATCGACCAATTCTAGCTGCTGCGAAAGGTTTAATATCTCTTTGTGGTGTCTTATACTGTGATATGGTGTAGGTTCCTTTATTTAGTAATAATGTCTATTACCGATTGATCAGTGTCTTGTTATCGCAGACGAATTCTTCGAGCCGTCGCCGCCGCCATCGCCGCCATCGCCGGGGTCCCGTGAAGAAAAAGATACGCGGTACTGGGCCAAAAGCCAAGGTAAAATTAACGCTTTCATAATTAACAAAACATATTCTGTACTAAATAAAGTATATATACGAGTATCTCTAAATGCAACATACCAAAAGTAAAAGGACCGCTATGCGACCGATTCGATTTCTGGTAGGACCAATTTGGGAAATGAACTTTTCTAAATTGGTTCTGGCCTGGGTGTTAATTCCTTTGCTGTAGGTTCCGGGTTTGATTCTCGGAACAAGGTAAACTTGAGAAATTAACTTTTCACGCTACTTTATTAATATAATTAACTTTTCAAGATACTTTATTTTGCGCCTTTTCATAGATGTCAACATTTTCAGTTTCGTTCGTGAACCTCTGTGTCCAACCAATGCACAACATGCGACAGTAGCACCACATCTCAAATGTCTGCAGGCGTTTTGTAGTGTCTTCTTTTAAGGTCACCGTTTCGCAGCCGTACTACATAACGTTAGGCCAGATGTAACATAAAAGTAACCTGACTCGGAGCTATATGTTCAGTTTACGGCAGCACAGAACTTTCTTTATGTTGTTAAGACGCTCGAGCATTTCCTATCCGGGTCTTGATTTCCTGATTAGGTTCCCATGCTTCATTTACCCAAGCCCCCAAATACTTGTACTGATAGTTCTTTCCCAGCTACAGATATGTTAGGGCTCAAATCCGGATTTCTCGAGACCACCATGAACTTCGTCTTGTTTATGTTCATTGATAAACCGGCTTTCTCGCTACATTCATTAACCTTATTTACAATTGCTCGCAAATCGGTCTCCGATGCTGCAATGAGAATAGTGTCGTCTGCATAACGCAAGTTGTTAACGACTTTGCCGTTGATCTTTATTCCCACTTCAAGGTTTTCAAGCGCCTTCGACATCACAGCCTCCGAGTGAACATTTAAAAGCAGCGGAGACAGGATGCAGCCCTGGCAGACCCCACGACAGATCTCAACTTGATCGGTTTATTTATTTATTTAAACCTCATTCTCAACTCTTATCGTGGCCACTTGCTTCTCATACAGGTTACGAATGATCCTGACATCCCTACCATCAAGACCAATGTCACCTAAAAGGCCCAAAAGTTGTTGATATTATCAATTAAATACATGAAAAGATTTTTTTATGACGCAGGAGGTATTTGAATCCACGGCCTTAAATGAACAACGTCCACTCTATAACCAATTCATCGTCATCCGTGTGACGTCCACATGATTGTTCCAGGCCGTGGATTCAAATCCTTCCTGCGGTTTAAAAATTGTATCCCCATATTTTCGAAATTGGTTATTGTCTGGACGTTCTGGATAGTCCCCAGAGTGAATGCCGTTGCATTGGTACTCATATTACTTCGAATTTCTAGTTTGAGACAAGATAAATGCGGTTGTCTGACTACAGAAAACCCAGACCACAAGCAATTTTTTGTAACGGTAGAGCTCCTTGTGAAAGAGTTCGTTCAGGGAGGTACCGCCATCTCACCTGTTTCTGTCGCCAAAGAGTAATGTGAGCATTTACTGCTTGGCGGGTCCGATGGTGAAGGGCAAGGGTGCTGGTGAAGCAAACGAGACTTCTCAACTTTATGTCTCAAGGTGACGGGCACAGGAGCAGTGCTCAAAGTGGCTTTGCAATTGTTATGGGTGGCCGTGTCACTTATCATCAGGAGCATGACTTGTTCGTCCCGTAATTTTTATTATAATAAAAAAAATTTGAAAAATTCATTTCCCAAATTGATCGTACCGGGAATCGAACTCGGGTTTGATAATTTACTTACAATCAGATTAAACAACAATATACAACTGATAAAATAAATACTAAGTATATATAATTATGGCCTGTACTGTCCCCCTCCTTCCACACTTCTTCTTCTGTTTCGCGCCACCGAGGTTCAGTTTTAGGCGCGCGTCTAGCTCGTCTCTCCATCGACGCTTTGGTCTGCCGCGAGGTCGTTTTATCGTATCGATCCATACTGTGGTAGATTTCGCCTACGACCACCATGCAGCAGACGTGTCCCGCCCAGTCTTTTAGGCACTTTAGTTTACCCGCTTGCTGACCCACAGCGGCGTTAGTATAAAATAATAAAATAAATGTAGTTGTTCATCTAACCGATTTCTGGGATTTTATAATACTCAAGGTGAGTAACGAGCTTTGCTGAATAAAACCGAGAAATGCTAAAGTCATGTGTTATGCCCATTTCAGTAAATTCAAATTTTGAAACGCTCCCCTGTAAACTTGTCAATTTCGACATACGATACTTTACGTAGGAGGGGTCGAAATAATAGTATTGTATGTGCTTATTTTGATTTTACTAATTTTTATTGTTGATGGCAAAACGTCGAGCGAGGAAGGAGGAATTAAAACCGATACAAGACGTTTGCGAAAACCGATACAAGGCATTATTTAAAAAACAGCAGTTTTGTTGTCTTAGGATGTGATTTGTTGAAAATTACAATGTCACAAGTTATAGCAGAAAATTTCTTAACATTGTATATACCTGTTTGATCAGAAGTGCCAATAAAACCAGAACAATTGGTTATTTTGTGTTTCAGATAGAGACTGATTTGATTTCATTGTAACCAGCGTACAAAGTGCAGTTTTTGCATTTTAATTTTAATAAATATTTACGGCATTTTAAATATAGCAGACCTGTAGTTTTATTCATATTTAAAACAAAATATACGCCCTATATCTAAAAACTACATTAGATACATCAATAAAATGGACCAACCTATCGGACTCCAAATTAGTTACAGCAAAATCACTTCTTGAAAGTTGTGTGGTATTTTGTTGCGCCGTTACAATTTCGATATACAGCAAAATTGCTGCTTAGTTTTGAAAACGCAATTGCTGTAACTAGTATAAAACCCAAGTTAAATCAATTTTAGAATAATTTCGTCAATGCTTTTTGATGGCTGTTCCGTTTACATACATCATACTTTAAAATTGACTTTCTACTAATTGAAATTAAAGAGAAATGATTTTTCTAAATAGTTTTTCGGTCGGTGTAAAGTCCTATTTTTCGAGATATGACAAGATTGCTTTCCGGCGTCGATATTATGGTGCAGAGCACAGAACAATAAATACAGTAGAAATGCTTACTAGTTTGCGTCACGAAAAAAAAGACAATGGAAGTGCCATAAGCCTCGATGACTATTGTACCACTGTCGCCAAAACTAGCACATTCATAATTTGAAACACTGAAATCCGGATAATGATTGATCGTAGCATCTAATTTAAAAAGAAATCTATTCTGGACTGTTAATATAATTTAAACTTTACTCTGTTGGCGTGTCGTTGAAACGCGCACACACTCATAGCCCCACACTAGAGAAACCCTCTGTCGCGGGTGCCATGGACACACATAGACAACCATCAATTATAAACTCACGAGAGAAATAAATGTAGGCCATACAAATTTAATTGCCTCCGTGACCGAGCGGTTACCATACTGGACTGCGACGCAGAGGTCCCGGGTTCGATTCCCGGGCCGGGAGAAATATTTGCGTGGCCTACATATATTCCTCTCGTGAGTTTGGGTGTAATTTGTGGTTGTCTACCTCTGTGTGTGTGTGTACATGGCACCCGCGATACAGGGTTTCCCTAGTGCGGGGCTATGAGTGTATGCGTTATTGTTATTATTGTGTTATTATAAATATTTCCCCCGCGAAGGGAATCGAACCCGGAACCTCTTGCGTGGCAGTCCAGCATAGTAACCGTTCGGCCACGGAGACAGTTGAATAAGTAGTGTTAGCAGTTCAATAAGTATTATTGCAAGTTACGTTTTCATTTATATTGAAATTTCAATCAACGTGCTGCCATCTAGCGATTTGTTTAACTGATTGAGATACGTATACTACATGTTGAAGTCTACCTTTCCCCACCAGGGTAGATTATTTGACCTTTCCCCACGTTTCCATCCATAAAAGCGAAAGGGCTAACAGCACTAGTAATTACAGAAAGAATGAAAATACTATGTAATTACGATAACGTTTAAATAAATCTTAAAATAATTCCAGGTGAAATGAAACAATGATGTTATAAAAAATATTTACTAAAAATCGCAATGTGAAACAAGAGTAGTACTTATGTGTAAGGTTGCGTTCCATGTGTTAGGACACATTTGCGTTTTAGCAGTCGACATCAATGACATTTGTACGCATCACGCTTATCCTTTGTCCGTGCCCGCGCCTTAATAATTTTGTGTAAAACAGTGAATATGAAACCTTTTATCTTAGGTCTTGTCCACTATTTTGATTAATTTAGTTGTATTGTTGTAATAAATTTTTGAAATAAAATCTTCTGCTGTCGAGTGTCATTTTATTGAATACACTGTAAGTATTTACTTAGAAAACATGATAATGATAAAATCTTAAACATGCTCGCAAATGTTTGAATTACTTTCAAAGTTTAAATATATATATATACATATATGTCGCGAGTTATATCACAAAGTTTGTAATAAGGAGCATGCAACAGTTTGCTTAACAAGTATGTAAATCCATTTCCGTCCGCCGGTCAAAATTTTTAAATATCTACTTACCACAGTAATAAAAGTAAAATTGTTAATAAAATACATATAAAAATATCGACAGAGTCGTGCTTTGTATTTCTATGTAAAGTGCGACGCTGACGCGTACTTGTATGTGGAGTGTAATATCGACGCGGTGTACAATTTGAATTCTCATAGAACGTAAATAGAGAATAATGTAGTAGATTCAAATTAACGGTATGTGAAAAAATATGGTCTTTTAAGTTGTGGTATCTTAATTACACATGTGGTATCATAGGAAAACATAACACGCATGATGTATTTCAACAAATATATTTTCTGAAAAATATAGCTTAGTACTGCTACCTACATAAAAAAATATTTCTTATAGTAACGCTTAAGCGCGGCGCGACGTTTAAGTTTTAACATCGATTTGTTCGTAAAACGAGCGCCACGCGACAAAGTCAGTCCGTTTAATTCGCAAAGAATGGAGTTTCTGTCGTTTTCGTTCGCACCCTCGACAGCGGCCGACGCCCCCGGAGGTGGCAGGCGCCCGCGGCGCGCGTCAGAGCAGCGCGTGCGCAGGCAGCATCCGCACGGGCGCCGGCTTGCCCGCCGCGCCGCTCTCCCACGCCGCGCACCAGCCGTCGGCGTAGCAGCCGAACAGGAGCGACGAGTCGCTGCTGTACGTCAGGCTGCGGGCGCGCGGCCGTTAGGGGCGGGGACGGCGGCCGCGGCGGCGCCGGCCCGCGCTTACCTGAGCAGCGGCACGCGCCGGTCCAGCGGCGGGATGAAGGCCACCCTGCGCAGGTCCCACGAGGAGTACAGCCGCACGGCGCCCGAGGCCAGCCCCGCCGCCACGCAGTTGACGCTGATGCCCTCCGGCGCGCTGGAGTAGCACACGCACGTCACGCGCTCCGCCACCTTCACGCTGCCTGCGGGCGAGGCGGGCGGTCACGGGCCGGCCGCGGGCCGCGGCGCCGGCGCCGGCGGGACTCACCCACGAAGCGCGCGTTGCACGTGTGCACTCGGATGAGCGACTTGTACTTGTAGGTGGCGTCTTTCTCGTAGCTGTCGCCGTCGTCGTCGGCGGCGGGCGTGGGCGCAGCCGCGGGCGCGGCGGCGGCGGCGGCGGGCGGCCGCCGCGCGTCGTGCACCGTCGCCACGTCGCACAGCGTCTCGCTGATGGTCACGTGGGTCACCGCCAGCATGTCGCGGTTCGGCAGCGTGCGGACGTACGCCAGACTGCAACCGGAGAGGCGCGGTGAGCGGGCGGCGGCGAGAGCGGGGCGGGAGGCCGGGCGGGAAGCGACCTGTTGAGGTCCCACAGCACGACCAGCCCGTCGACGTCGGCCGTGGCGATCAGGCCGGCGCGCGCGCACACGTGGATGTCGGCGATGGCGGCGCGGTGCGCGTGCAGCTGCGTGGCCTGCGGCGGCAGCGCGGCGCGCAGGCGCAGCGCCAGCACGCGCCCCGACTGGTGGCCC